GAAAATAACTACCATATAATTTTTTTCAAAATGAATTGAAATTTTCTGTGTAGTATCCTATATGTATCAATTTTGTATCCTGTATGTGTGTAATTATAGTTAAATAGGTATTAAAGTATGTATCCTTTTTGTATCAATTAAGTGATTTTTAGGTATCCATTGAGTTATATATATGTGATATTTTTAGCTGTCATATTATATAATTGTAATAATTTCAGGTTATCTATACATATTGGAGCAAACATATTCTGGATCAGTTTTAAAAATAGAAAGGAAAGAATGTGATAAATTCTTATACGCATTTGTTGCATTAGAAGCTTGTATTAGAGGTTGGGAGTATTGTAGGCCAATTGTAGTTTTTGATGGGGCAGGATTAAAATGTTCATATGGTGGTACAATGGTGACTGCCAACACCATGGATCCAGAAGGTAGTTTCTGATCCCATGTATTTTTACGCTTACACAATATAATAACATATGATGTAAAGTATGTTTTCAATTTATGTGATATTTTTTTCGAAAAATGGATCAGGTCATATATTTCCGTTGGCGTATGCCATACTGGATTCTGAAAACGACGCTTCATGGACCTGGTTCTTTGAACAGTTTAAGGAAGCGTATAGAGTTAGTCAAAACATGTGTTTTATGTCAGATCAAAATGAGAGCATATCGAAAGGGACTGCTACTGTATATCGTGAATCCGAATATTATGCCTGCATATGGCACCTATCATGCAATGTGTTGAAGAATTTCAATTGAAATACTGAATATTTGAAGATTTTATCTTTTACACTTGCAAAGACTTATACAAAACAACAGCTTGAGACGATTATGAGAAGAAAAGACCAGATAGATTATCAAATAAGACAATACTTATTTGATATTGGTTATAACAAATGGTCAAGAGCTTATTCGAATTGTAAGCGCACATGGAGCATGACTTCAAACATCGCTGAGTCATTGAATAATGTTAACAGGTTAGCAAGGAGGTTACCAGTAATTTCACTCCTTGAATTTATGAGGGTAAAAATTCAAATATGGATTCACAAGCACGATGAGGAGGCTGATAAAATAACATCTGAGCTGACAAAAAAATATGATCTTTGTCCACAGAAAAGTATTGCTTTGTCTTGCAATATGAGGGTATGTTTTTTACTCTATTCAATAATAATTAATTGCATTTTACTTCCCAATTTTTAGTGGTATATATATTAACAATTTCACATTGAAACTGTTATTTAGGTAATACCTTCAACTGTTGATATGCATGTTGTAGTTGAAGGAGCAAAGAAGTACATAGTAAACTTGAACACAAAGATGTATAGTTGTGGGAGATTTAAACATAATGAGATATCATGTGGTCATGTAATTTCAGTTCTTAGATAGAGAAAGTTGCATGAAGCAAATTTTTGTTCTGCTTTTTATAGATTGAAGAATTTCAAAGATGCATATGTCATCCTTGTTGAACTTATCCCATGCTAGAGTACATGGGATATATCAAGTTATATTTCAAAGCCTAAATTGATGTCACTCAATCCAAAAAGATCAGTAGGAAGACCAAAACTTGAATGCTGGAAGGGGTTTGCTAATGTGAAATTCAAAAGGTCAAAAATCACCTACAGTAGATGCCGTCAAGTTGGACACAACAGAAAGACATTTTAAAATTATCTAGTGCAAAAAAAATAATTTCTTGATTTTACTTACTATTAAACATTTTTTTATGTTGTTTTGACTGTTAGACACAAGTTTTATTTTATAGAGTTAATTTGTTATCATTAACATTGATAAAATTTTGTTTCATAAAAATTGTCCAACTATAAATAACATTAAAATTTAATTTTTATAAATGTGAATCAATGTATACAATTATTGTTCAAATTTCATACATAGTACATAGTGCATACGATGAATCCCCATTGAGAAAAAATTCGTACAAAATTCATAAAGTATTAAAATATAGTAAATCATGCATATATTCACATCTCTTCCATATATTTCAAAAGTAAATATGGCATACGTAATTCATAAAAGGTTCATACACAAGGATAAATTATTTTTCACATATTTTGATACATTAGTGTATTATTAATTATTTCATACAAGATTCAAATATATTTCATACAATATGCATTACATAGTTGATACATATTTATACAAAAGTTAATATATGTGTATCAAAAAATATATGATATTTGTCATACTAGAAAGATAAGAGATCAAAAGTGTTGTGTTATTTGTATAAACGTAGTAATAAGTTAAGCCAAAATAAGGTAACATTGATAAATTATATAAAACAATCTCTCTTTCATATTAAGAAGAAAAAACTAAAAAATAACATAAATGGGTATACAATAGTTAAAAAAACATGTAGTTAAAAGAATTTAAAGGGTGCAATGAACTTTTTCTAATTTCTATTTCGTGGTCTTGGAGTAGGATAATTGGTGGTGTCCATAACTTGTTCTTTTGGCGTGCGAGGTCCACCATACTTGCTTGCAACTATACTCATAACTTCACTGTCACTTATTGTGCCCTCTTCATTCTTTGATTTTGCATAATGTTAAAGTAATGTGGCATACCTCTGATGATGATATGTTGAATAAATATCAATATCATACACATCAAAAATACCATTGTTGATATATTCGATAAAAAGAGAGGTGTATAGACCACAATCGTTGTAAACAATTTGAAATTAGAAAATTTTTATAATAACTAAATTGTGATGTCATTTAGATGAAATAAATAGGGTATAGTAACTACATACTTGGAACTGTCTTCTTGTTGAGGAACATCTGTCACATGCTTGATATCGAGAGGTTTGAATTGAGACTTGTGTGATGTTCAGGGAGATTGATCGCATACAGATCAAGCCTTTTGCCATAAGATCATATGTTCACCAGAAATAATGGTATCATGGTTGCAAGTTTATCAACCACTTCTTTCACTTTTTAGTTGTGAACAGCTCCTCCATTCATCGAATCAGATACATGTAGACATCTAAGTTTATTCGAAATACAACAAGCAACTAATGAAATTTCTCACTAGTATTAACAGGGATAATGACTTCATCAACCCTGTCCAAAGCAATGTTAGAAAACATCTTAACTCCTCTAATATACTGTCCAACATCGTGTTCAGGGGCAATGCATCTCATGTCGCAACCTGACACTGTCCACTGCTTCTCAATATTATCAATCCACGTCATAAACCAACAATCAACAATGCTATATGAAATCAATGTTTTGGAGTATTTTTCCTTCTTTCGAACATAATACATAATTGTATTCATATGTTGTTACAAACAAAAAATAAAAATAAAACACAATCGATACTTCATACATTGTCATATCATAGAAACAATTATAGCGGTTCATACACAAATTATAATAAAAATGTATATACATGTTTCATACCCAATTCACACACAAATCATACAAATACAAATATTATTTCATAAGTAATTCATATAATATTAAAACATTAATTCTTACTTCAATTCGTATATCAATTAATACACAGAATCATACAATACTAAAAACAACATTTACTACATAAATTAACATAGAGTTCAAGCAAATACTAATACAAAATATGGTTATAAAAAATATACAATGTGGCTTTACAACTAATAAATTGTATGTATAGAACATTTTATTGAAATTATGTATATTAATACTTCAAGACATACATCAATGCATACACAAATCATACAATATTAAATTAAAACAATACATACCTCAAATAACATAGAATTTAGACAAATACTAACTTAAAGTATAAAATTTACTCGTGTTATAAATTAATCATTCAATATTGATTCAAATTGTGTCTTACCCTGTCCTCCCAAGATCTGCCCGGTTGACTCACAATATGGAAAAAAAATTCTGCGATTTTGACAACGCCAAAATCCATTTGAGGATGAAAGATATTTTTAACCTTTGAATATGCTGCTTTCTTGTGAATATTACAAAAAGGATTGTATAAAATTTGATATTGTAAAATTTAAATAAAATAAATTAATTTATAGACATTTATGCCTCTCACGCCTATTTGAAACATCTTTGATAACCCATTGGTTGAACTCGTTGATCATATCAGCTGAAACTTAAAAACCATTATGACTTTGAAATGGGTGTTTTAGTTGAAATAGAATGGAAACTCTCTTTGAACTGCTTTCGACTTTTGACAGTCGAATATAAGGAGAGATTCGTATTTGCCGGAATTTTAATATCTTGATTGCACGTCTTGAGTTGTGGTAGCATTTAGAATTGGATCAAGTGCCATGATTTGTTTCATAGTAAAATCAGAATAATCATCCAACGTTGGTGGTTTTCAAGTTGATGATCCGGGTACGTCAGCATTGAAAAAAATCACCTAGTTGACTTTTGAGCTTCATCTATATAAGATAAAAATCGTTAGTTAATAACAAATTTTTAAATGGAAATACATGTCATCATAATATTTATATCATACCATCATTGTTTGAAATGTGAACGTGTTCATCCATTGAAACAAAAGGCTGATCCATTGGAGCTTAATCAGATTGTGCAACATTTTGAGTGACGTCGTCCTAATATTAGTGCTGACACCAAATTTTGGTCTGATAGTTTTTAAAAATAATACTTTTTGAGTATCTTATTTTAAATAGTTTAAAATGTGTTTTGTCACTTTAATGCAATTTGTAGATAATCGTTCTTTTTCTCAAAATATTAAGATTTTTATCGGTTATTATGTTTAATTATTTTGTCACAGTCAAACGTTCAAATATTTATTCATTTTATAAAATTATTATTTCTGTTAAATTGCATTTCTTACATATAATTGATTACGTTAATCACATTTTTTTATATTTATTTTTTCTCTGTTATATTGTTAATATTTATTTTGATATTTTGTATAGTCCAAAAATCTATACATAAATGTTTTATCAACCAGCGATTTTATGGGCCACAATCTTGAGCACTAACTTGGTCCCATTGTATAACAATGGGATCCTACTTAAAAAAAAGTTTTTCCATTAGGTTAGGGGGTGGATAATATTTTGAGACTAGGGATGAAAACTTTCCAAAATAAAAAAACCCTAAAAGTTTCTCCTCATATTTTTGGCTAGGAGTCGGCAACCATCCAACCTTCCATTTTTCTTTCTCCTCCATATCCAAAAAACCATCGGGAATCTATGGCCTCTTCTTCACTGAAACAGCTAGCCGACCAAACGACCAGCAACAAAATAGATCCAAAAACGACCTTCAAAATGCAGCTGGAACAGCCACTCAAATAGGCAACTACCTAACCCCAACTCGCCTGAAATCACCATTGGTCCTGCCATCTTCTTCCCCAACTCAACAACCACAAAAGTCCCTCCTTCGTTTCCTCCTTTTTTCGGCGACGAATAGCCGCAAATCTTAACCAATAACCACCAGACCCACCTCCATCCTCCCCTTTCTTCTCCAACATCAACAGAAAAAAATTTAACCATCATCTTAGAACAAAAAAAAAGAAAACAAATCCATTTCACCACAAAAATCTTATCGTTTTCTCTTTTTCCAGTGAAAAGTCGTCGAAAACGATCCAACAATCAGACCACCGCCTGTCCTTTCACTTTTCCCCTTAACGATTCTATATTTTTTGCAGGTGAACTATATCAACAAATTTGTGAGCAAACAACAGCAGTAACCAAAATTTCTAAGGAGCAACAAAACCAGTCACGAGGAAGAGTGACAACAACAACAAATCTCTGACGGTCAGGTCCTCTTTTAGTTTGAATTTTATTGTTATAGTGGTTTTTGGTGATATTATTATTGATTATTACTATTTGTACTTTTGCTTTGTGCATTTATTAGTGAGATGAACTTACTATTTTATTTCCCTTTATTATTTTTTTTAATTTTATTCTTACTCATTTGACTGTTTAAAGTTGTTGGGTTGTGGTTATTATATATAGGTAGGTTATATTTTATTATTTTTATTCTATGAAGTTTTTCATATCCATTTATTAAGATTAATTTTTATTTTTTTTAATTTTTCACTGTTTGGTAGCTTTATTAATATGTTTAAGATTTTGGTGATTTTTGAGATTATTAGACTTTTTTGTTAATTGTTAATTATTTCTTTGTAATTGTAGTTATTTTTATCTATTAATTTCTATGCCCATTTATGTTTCTTTCGTTTTTGTTAAGTACTTGGTTTGGCTAATTTCTAATTTATTAATGGGTAGTGTTAATATTTTCATTAAATTGTTACTTCTATGTTAACATTAGGTATTTCCTAATATATTTATCCCGGTTGTTGTTACTTTATTATTGATTAAGATATTTTAAATTTCACATTATATTTTTTTTGGGTCTATTTAAATTACAAGTAAAATGACCAATGACAAAATCTCTCCGTCGATTTTGGATGCCTCCCCAATGATAAAAGACCAAAATTTTTATTTAAATTCATAAAACTTGTTTATTAAATTGTTAAAATTATCAATGAAAGAATTTCTTCGTCGATTTCGGAGGCATCCCCAATGTTAAAAAAATGGAACTTATATTTATGTTTATGTTTATGTTTTGCTTGTTAAAATAGACAGATGAAAAAATTACCGTCGATTTTCAAGGCCTTCCATGTTAATAAGAAGGGTTTTTATTTTTAAGTTATTATTTCATCTATTCAATTTTATTCATATTTATTTAATAAAAATACTTGTACTAAGTGTGTTTACACGTACCCAATGCATGCTTCTTTGAATCTATTCAAAAAGGACTTCGAATTTATATTTTTGAATTCATTATTTTGTATATATCGATGTTAGGCAAACCTCAGACCGATATTGTTATTTTGTTTTATTGTGTATATTGCATGTTTATTATATGTGTACATTATTTTATTCTCCTGCTCAATTTGTAAAAGATGAATTCAGTTGGGAAGCATAGGTGTGGATTTCGAAGGATGCCTAACCCCTTTCCTTCGAAATAACTTGAACCCCTTACCTAGAATCAAATTGGTTTCATAGACTCTCTTTTAAGTTAATTAATTAATCGATTTTCTAGTTTTCCTAAAAAAATTAGGTGGCGACTCCCTTTAATCCCCTTAAACTCATTTTACCCCCACCCCCCCTTTTCCCTTTCACCCGTATTAAAATTCTTTTAACTAGTTCTTTTTAATTGAGTCACCAGGATGTTGCTTCTAATTTAAAGGATCACAACAATTAGTTTTCAGACAACGTCAATATATTCTAATTTTTTATATGAATTAAATTAACTGAATTCATACATATATGAAAAACAAAATTTCATACATTTTTATACAACATTTATACATTATTCCTATATGTATGAAAAAACACTTTCGTACATAATTAATACAAAATTTTACATTATTCACATAGATATGAAATATTTTCTATTAGTCATTTAAAAGTCATACACTGATCATAAACATAGACAAATAACACAAATACTACTACATACTATGATCAAACAACATTCATACAAAGAACATACATTGATCCATACATGTTGTGCATCTGTTGTTGGTTGACCTCTTGACAATATAATCTCTTCAAATATCAGCTTAGTCGAGTTATTGACGTAAGTCTTGATTTCAACCATGTGCTTGTCAACCTTATGAATATAAAAAAATATATTAATATAATAACATAAAACCTACAATAATAATATTAGTTAATTTAAATGTGATTGGAACTAACATTTAACTTTGAGCTCTTTTAACTCCGCCTTAACTTGTTCATTAAACAGTAATAAGTTTTGATATTTATAATGTAATATCTAAAAACTATTTTAATCGTAAATTTTTATTTACCTCTGCAATTTCTGCTTTCAACTCTACATATTTTTGTTCAAAATCAATGTCATGGTTTTCCGAGGTTCATTTCTCTTCAGAATCATGGTGACGGGGAGATTGATTTAAAATGGTTTCATCCATGACATTGAGCTCTTCTTGAGTAAAAATCATATTTCTGAGTTTATGCTACAGAAAAAAAATATATGAGAATGTAATAATTTATAATTACTTTAATAATTTTTAATAAAAATTACCTGGTTATAATGTGTTCTGAATATTGTTTTCTTCAAATCATAAAAAAAATATGTCATTTTTGTCTTCCACTTCAGGATACGCAGTGTGTGATCTGAAGCATGGATAGCAATTGTGTTGTCAAATGGATGACAACACTCATGAAACCATACCTGCAAGGCTATATGGAACTGACTGAACTTGAATAACGAAGGATTTTTTTTCCAATTTATGAAAGCACACTTTAAGTGTTAATTTAAAACACTCACTTCCCCATGAAAATATGTCATACTATCCAGACTCTACTAAATAAAAATATAATTTAGAAATGGTTATTTTTTATGGGTTTGAAGCAGTCAGAAATGAAAAAATGAAGTACAAAATTCCAATTTTTAAAGAGTCATCCTTTTCCCAATAGTTTTTTCAGTTTAAACTTATGGTAGAAATCTGACTTGGGTACTTTGTTCATATTCCCAAAATTTTCTTGGATAAGTATATTTGGAATAGACTGATCAGAAACAAAATTAAAAATTAGTCCAGATTTTAGACCGGTTATAGCGACAAATTCTTTTAATCCAAAGTGTAACTCTGTACCATTTATGTTTATGATGAACATATCATCTCTGATATTTTCAGTTTCAAGAAGAAAAAATATGACGCAACAATTGACATTGAATTTTTATGTTATGTAAATCATAAAAAAACAAATGGTATTTCTTGTAGAAATTGTTGGGACCTATCTTGAACGAGGAAGGTCAACAGATCAGCGAACACATTCATGTTTGTACATGAAGACAAATATGTTTGTACCTTCTTCTCCTATAAAATTGGTAAAACTAAATTAAAACCTTTAACATAATATGTAATTTCATAGAAAAATCATTAATACGATGCCATATTAATGGACAACCAACTCAATTCATACACAAATCATACAACTAATACATCAGTCCATAGATAATTCATACAATATTTATTCATATTAGAATTTTTTAAAAAACTAATATGTGAATTTCAAACTACAAAATAAAAGTCATACGGGATCAATAAATCAATTCGTACATCAAAGTCAAACACAAATTATACAGTGGTAATGCATATTATAATTGTCAAAATTCTACGATATGCCTATAAATTCGAAGTGTTCGCAACCAATTTCAATACTTTTTCATTTTTTTGATCTTTTATTTTTTAATTCGTCCACAAAATCAGATTCTGACGATGTTCAAATTTCTTTTTCCTTCCTCTTCTTCCCTTTTTCCTTTGCCTCTTTTTTGTTTTTTTTAATCTTTGATTTAACAGAACTAGCCGTCTCTTTTTCCATATGATTTTTGCGGTTGAATTTGAGTCAAAATATTGAATGAAGGAACATGAAAGTCATCAGATGATGACTCCTCAACCAATATTCTACTTTTACTGGGTGTTCCACTAACTTTGCTCGACATTCTATACGAACTTAACAAAAAATCATTTATCAAGATTTTAAAAAATTGTTGAATCGTGTTGTGTAATAGAAAATGTGGATGTTTGAGTTATGAATTTGGAGATGAAATTGATCTATGAGGCGTGATGGGGATGGGGATGAATCAGGCATGATGGGAAGGTGATGAGTGAGGCGCGTTTAGGGATTGATGTGTGAGGCGTAATAGGTACAGTGATCAATCAGACCATTCGGGATGATAATGATTGAGGCGTGTTGGGGAAGTTGAATGCTGTTTGTGTTGGGTGTGATGGAGGTGAGTAGTTATTGGGCGATGGTAAAGTAGAGATTTAATTAAAATCATATCCCTAATATTTAGTTTTTGTTTTGAAAAGGTAACTCTATAATGTAAAATTTGATTAATAATAATTTATTATTTATTTTGAAAATTGTAAAAGGTAACTGTACTATTAATTTGTAAAAATTTAAAGAGTTTTATTTTAAGAAAGGTAACTGAAAAAATAAAAATAAATATGTAGACATATTAATTAGTATTGAAATAATTACCTATATTTTATTTTTAATTAAATATATTTTTATTTGATATGATATAACTCGATAATAATCTGCTATAAGTAATTTATTTTTAAAGAGTATTTATAACTCGATATATATCGTCTTAAATATGTATGGGTGTTATTTTAATTTCTAAACAAAATGATTCAACACCAATGCATATAACCTGGCCCAACCCATTTGCTCTTCACGAAAGAAACCCATCAACAATACAGCGCACAACAAAAGTGATATCGTCTTCTTCACCCAAAAATCTTGTCAAATCCAAAAATCCACCAGCAAAACTTGGCGCATCAGTATATGCCCATACGCCTGTCATCCTCGTGTCTAATCGTCTCTTTTTTTCCCTATTTCGCGCAGCCACAGGCTGCACAACATCTTTCTCTATTTGCCTTTGAAAAAAGAGAGATTTTAAATTTTTGCTCAACGGTTTCCCCCCTAAATTGACCTCAACTTTTCCTCCATATAAACTACCCTTAACCATCAACCAAGGGAGGATCTTAGAGGTTTTGGAGTTTGAGTTCCTAAGAGAAATATCCACTTCTACGCTTTTAAAATTTTATAACTAGTTTTCTGAGTATGAATACTGAAAAGATCGCCTCTTAGATTTTCTTGGTTTGTTGTTCGTATTCGAATTTCGTGCTGGAAGAATTGTTGCCCTTCTCAAGCTTGACGTCCCAGCTCGATGCTCCAAGAGAGGTAACCTCGGCTCCTCTTGTATTTTGTTTCAATGTAGCATATCGTGGTGTGTTCGAGTACTTCACCGTTTCTTACTTGTATGTCTTATGCATTTTAACAGCCTTGGAATGTGTTGTTGTCTTAGCTTTGGATCTGCCCGGCGGATGCAAGCTTTGCCTAATCGTTAATCTTAATTCGTCTAATTTGATATCGTTGACTCTGTAGCTTTAATATATATTGTGGGTATTGTTATGAGTTTATCCCTTAAATGTTTGTCTCATCGAGTTGGTACTTAGCCTAGCTCGAAAGATTTCTTTTCTGTCTTTTAAATGATATTATGATTCCTGTATTGAGTTAATTCATTGGAGATTTCTAAGACATGTACTCCTCCCCCCTTTTTCCTTTGTTCGAAGTCGGGAAACTTTTTATATCCCATGATTGTCCCATTTGTAGTCTATTGTTGTATTAGATAGAAAGCTTGTTGTAGTTGTGGCCCCATTTAATCTTGACTAGCATTTATTTGTCACTAGCTACTTCTCAAACTCTATTCTTAGTCAATGACAGGTTACTGCCTTGATTTTCCCCCTTGTCGTTTGAAATTTAAGTTTACTGTTGGAATGTATGCGTTCACTTATATTAGATAGGACCTGGTCCCCTTAACAATATTTTACAATAAATAAAGCACAAAGACTGAAAGTAAACGAGACAATCACTTTTACATGGAAACCTCCTTGATCAAGGGAGTAAAACCACGACCTATTCTTGACTGAACTTTTCAACAACCAAGTTTCACTAATTTCAACAAGCAAAAGTAAAAGTCGGTTAAAAAATAAGAGACTAACCTTCTAGCCTCTTCACTAAGCAATAGACCCTATTACTTAGCTAAGCACGAGCAGATACAACAATACTCAATAAGAACCTAGTTACCCGTAACTAAATCCCTTAAAATGAAACACCCAAGATTTGAAACGTTTCTGTCGAGTTCGAAACGAGTCCTACAATTTTAGAACAATTACAAGCAAATATGAGACCAACAAATAACAAGAAGAACTGAAAGCCCTTTGATCAATATCTTGCTTTTTTTATGTTTGCTGGTATGGTTTTCTTTTTGAATGAATGAATAATGTGTTGTGTTTTGTTTTATATACATCATCAAGATTTGTTGTCTATCAAACAAAAAGACCTAGTCACTTCTGATTGACGAAGTACACTGCTCCTCACAGACCTCTCTGACGCAGACAACTTTTATAGTTGTCTTGTACTTTTCACAGTTGGGATTAGTTTCATACTCTGCAAAGGACCAGGTCCCTGCACTGGTGAGGAATCATCAAAACATCTTGAGGAGAGCCTCCTGTCAATTTCCCCCCTTTTGATGATGACAAAACAACCTGCATTTGTTCCTCACACACATTAATTCATAAATACATAGAGCATTATATCAGACATAATTCCCCCTTAAACCACGTCATAATTCCGCCTTAAAACATGCTTTCCCATGCATCTCCAATCAGACATCATTCCTCCTTAAACCATGCCATAATTCCCCCTTAAACTATGGCATAATTCCCATGCATCTTTAACTGAACGGCTACTACAATTTTCCCCCCTTTTGACATCATCAAGAAGGAGGGACAATAAACAATTGAAAAAATAAACAAATAAGAACAAGAGAATGTAGGTCTATACATACAGAACATGTGAATGTCAGCAAAAAGAGATGATAGAAATACATAAAAACTATGCATAAAACAACATCAAGATGCGATCAAATAAATACAGGCCATTGAACATTAAAACTGCATCGCACCACTGAAAAGAAAAGAGTACAATGAGAAGGACATACATAATAGGACACATTTAGGATGGGGGGGGGAGGGTTGAAGAGTTCGCAAAAGCAGAAACACTCACTCATTTGCATCTTCATGAGCCTTAATGAGTTGCTTGTTGAGAACTTGAACTTCCTCACTTAGTAAGGCATTCGTAGCTTTTAGGTGATCATTTTTTGTCCTCAATTTTCTTAACTCTGAGCCATAAACCTGACTAGGACCAGTTCCTCTTGAGATCACTTTCTGAAGTTCAGACTTAAGAGTGACCACCTCAACTTTCTTAGCTGCCAAGAGACAGTTAGATCATCCACTTTTCCCTTAAGAACGGACTGTTTCTCCAATATTGTGCAACCTGTGAGCACCCTGGTGCATCCCCTTCAATACACTCGCAATCCTGGAGAGTAGTTTTTGAGAACATCTGTTTGAAAGTATCTAGTACGCCCATCCCTAAGGGCACCTCAAAGTGATGGAACACCCAGTTGAGAAGATAGACGTATGGAATTCCATGATTCCATATTTTCCAAGTCATAACACGGTGGATGTTCTCAAGCATGATTGTTGGAAGATTGATCTCTTCAGGGTCGCTCAATTTTTCCATCAGAAAAAGATCAGCAGCAGATACAACTGTACGTTTCTCTGACCTAGGAACCATGACCTTGTTAACAAACTCGAAGGTCAACTGCAATTCTCCCTTGAGATATTTTTTTGTACCCCTGCCTGCTTAGGTTCACCCTTCTTTGAGGCTAGTTCAGTTAATGCTGTAAAGGGCCTACATCTTTCAATTGAGCAAATTTCAGCAGTAGGCACACTCAGAATGATCCCCAATGTTTCCTCACTAAGACTTATCTCTACCCCTTTAGCGGAGGTAAAAATACTCCCATCATCAAGAAAGTCCATGTTGTAATAAAACTCGTGCACTTCTGGTTCATGAAGATATGGGACTAGAGGCTCAAATAAATGTACCCATTCTTGTATAGTAACAGCATCAACAAGGGCTACCATGACGTGCTCTGTCAGAATATCTTTAGCAAATACTCTACCATTCAAAACCTTTTGCAGTTTCATTCTCTCAACCCTTTTTTCTCTTGTCATGTCATATTTCATCAGACTTTACCTTGGGGACCAGGTTCATTTACAGATGAAACTTTATATTTTATTTTCTTATGGGTTATCTTCTTTTTAACCTTCTTGACTAGAGGTTACTTTAGATTCTTTTGACCCTCATTAACTTTCTCCTTTGCACCTCCTGATCCCCTTCTTCGTTTTGCCACAGATTTGGCAACATCCTCTTACTTTGAACCACTATCCTCGACGGGGATCGGGTCAACAACGGGGTCCTCTTAAGTTAACCCTTGAATTCTTTGTTGTCTTCTTCTTTGTGTTTGTACAACATTTGCCGCCATAGCACTACCCAACACCTTTTGTGTGGCACTTCGAGTGCCATATTTCCGTTTACCTTCCTTCACATTAGATTTAATCAACTTTCCTTTCCCTTTTCTCTTTCTTTCCTCATCACTATCAGTATGAGTGTACTCCATATCGTCCGTGTTTCCCAACCTAATTTCTTGTTCTTGACAACTAACAAGAGAATGAATGCTTCCCCTCATTCCTTGCCTCTTCCATCGTAAAAGCACTTCTTCCTCCTCTTCCTCCCCTTCAGATTCCACATCAAAAGACTTGTGAGTGTTATCAAAGATAGGTTGACTTTTAGTGATAACCTGATCTGGCGACCTAAACGTCTCATTCAACAACAAGGTATGGGAGTCATCCCTAAGTGAGGACACACTTTGTATTTCCACCAATTAAGCTCGTGCTTTGAGAATGCAAGATTCTGGCCTTTTTCCCTCATGAAGATCACCTTTAAACAACCTTTCAGTTATTGACGATGAAACTACCATCTAAGCACCCTCGATTTCATCAGAACCTTGTTTAGAACTTGGTTTAGGCACTAATTATGCTTCAGATGTATGAGAATTTTTCTCAAACAACACCAGTGTAGGGGTACACGATACTCCGTCCATTCTAGGATGAGCAAATCGAACTTCAACTGGATTTACAGGAGATACAGGTCTTACTTGTGTTCTATTTTCACACAGAGGGGTTAACGACGACTCTTTAGAACGGGGATGGAGAAATGACGACTCTTTCGAACGGGGATGGAGAAATTGAATGAACTGGGTTTTTCGATTTTTGGAGAGATATAGGCTTGCAAAGAAGAATTAGACTTAGACATTTTGAGAAATAGAAGGCAAGAGAAAGAAAAAATTAATCAGAAAGCAAGAGTATAGAATTATTTTTTAAGTTTGTTGAGGAGAAACTAAAATATTTAAAACAAGATGGAATCGGGTCCTAAACAGTGTCGACTCTTCATTTTCAAAAAGAAAGGATATTTGAAACTGATGAGACTAATAAGACGAAGACACGAGGTGATGATGTAGACATTTGTCAGTGTAGTATTAAATGATACTATCATTGTAAGGGACCAGATCCCCCTTATGATTTGTCTGCCCAATTTTTGTGTGGTTTCATCATCTCCTCAGCTATTCATACCATGAGTGTATACCTGCAGTAAGGTACAAATCGTGAATTCTCAAGCACGTAATGTTTATTAGAACATAGATACATGTCCTCCTAAGCATAGCCATTTTAGATCTCCTTAATAGTCTTGTTCGAGAGTTATGCAAGCTTAACCATTCCAAGTCTCAGTCTATTTTTAAGAAAACTTTACTTTTGACTTTGTGAATATATCAGCCAATTGATGTTCAGTGCTGGAGAATCTCATCAACACATTCATGTTTTCTACATTGTCTCGCAGGAGTGGTTGATACGCTTAAAACTTACTTCTCAAATAAGAAGTAAAGCGGTTGTGTCAAGTAAATAACCCAACTAGTGAGGTTGGGATCATTCCCACGAGGAAAATAGTCTAGACTTAACTTCATCCTGTTATTACCATTGTTTGGTCAATGACTTCCTTGGAAAGTAAACACAATAAAAGGGGGGTTTCTATTTCTAAATGAATGAAAATAACTAACGCAATTGAAAGAGACACTTAACAGCTTTGAATGTTGGATTTTATTCAATTAATCAAAATAACTACGGTTTGCGTGTTCCCCACAGGTTCATAACTTGATAATTCTAACTATAACAATTATTTCCTAGTATCTTGCATGCAAAGTGATAAGTTATGTATTTCTAAATCCTTGGTCCTCCATCTAGAAAATCTCACTCCGCACCTTGGTCCGGCTACGTGTGTTGCTATCCTAACCCTTATCTTTACCTCATATTTAGCATCGTATTCGATATTTGACTAAGTTATTACCTCGTACCAATCAATACTAGCCTATTAGATAGTATACACTAAATCTATGTTGATAATTCTTTTCCTATTATCTACCTCCTTGGTCCGGCAAGTTGCATTAAGGCGAGTTCTAACGTTGGTCATCCGTTAAAAAGACTTCTACGCGAAAGAATTATTAATACATTCAAGACACCATTCTAGAACTGTTATTTTAGTTAGGTTTTATCTCATTATTTGTCTGTGGTTCCCACAACCCTAGTTATGGAGTTTAATTACTCATAGTCATAATCACAATATTCAAATATATTAAAATAAGAATTAATGTACTTACTTCAATGTGAAAGAGTAAAATCCGAGAGTTTTCTTGATTAATCACCAAAAATCACCAACAATCAATGATAACCAAAAGTCTAACAATACAATGTTTACTAATATGGTGTCTAACAATATAGAGTCTA